TTCCAACTGATAGCAGAATTACAGAGAGTAAAAATGTAGCCAGAAAGAGATCTTCTTCTATCAAGATCACCACCATAATCCGAATCAACAAAACCTGCAACATTATTAGTTGTAGCTTTGTTTCTGTCAAACACCAAGCCAATATTACTAGTACCTTTAAGATACCGAAAAATCCATTTTACAGCACTCCAGTGATCCTTTCCAGGATTATGCATGTATCGGCTCACCATGCTAACAGCATATGCTAAATCAGGTCTAGTGCACACCATAGCATACATTAAACTGCCAACTGCACTAGCATATGGAACGTGTGACATACGCTCCATCTCTTCTTTTGTTTGTGGGCAAAGGTCTGAAGATAACTTGAAATGTGCAGCAAGTGGAGTAGAAACAGGTTTACAATTATTCATATTAAATCTGTCAAGTAATCTCTCAATATATTTTTGTTGAGATAAGAATAATTTACCAACTTGTCGATCTCTATGAATCTCCATGCCAAGAATTTTCTTAGCTGCACCTAATTCCTTCATCTCAAACTCATTATTGAGTTGAGCTTTCAATTTGCTGATCAAAGACTTGTCACGTGATGCAATCAACATATCATCAACATAAAGTAACAAGTATATGAAAGTTCCATCAGGAAATTGTTGAAAATAAATACAATCATCATATTTACTCCTGGAATAACCTTGCCCAATCATAAAGGAATCAAATTTTTTATACCATTGTCTGGGTGCTTGCTTGAGGCCATATAAAGATTTCTTTAATTGACAAACAAGATGCTCCTTACTAGGAACAACAAATCCCTCAGGCTGATCCATATAAATTTCTTCTTCCAGCTCTCCATGTAGAAAAGCTGTCTTTACATCAAGTTGCTCTAATTCTAAATCAAACAGAGCAACAAAAGCAAGCAAAATACGAATGGAAGTATGACGAACAACAGGTGAGAAAATCTCATTAAAGTCAATACCTTCCTTTTGATAAAAGCCTTTAACGACTAATCGCGCCTTGCATCTAGGATCTTCAACCCCTGGAATGCCATCTTTCTTCTTATAGATCCATTTACACCTTAGAGGTCGTTTGCCTTTGGGGAGCTTTGTCAAATTCCAAGTGTTGTTCTTGTGAAGACTTTCAATTTCTTCATTCATAGCCACTAGCCACTTAGCAGAATCAACACAAGAAACAGCTTCACTATAGCTGGCAGGTTCAACATCATCATTTACCTCTTGTGCAATTGACAATGCATAAGCAGTCAAATTGTCATCAGTGTATCTAGCTGGCAATTTTATCTGTCTTCTTGTCCTATCTCGTGCAATATTATATTCTTCCTGTTGCTGAATAGGATGATCATCACCATGATCATCAATGCTAGACTCAGTGGTAGAGGAAGATGGAACATCAACATTAGGAGCTACAGATTTTAACTCTAACTCCACCTTCTCGCTAGTACCTTGCAGATTATTAGTACTGGAAGAAGACACAGATGATTGTTTTCCAGAAGATAATAATGCATCCTCATTAAAAGTCACATCTCTACTAAGAATTAATCTTCGTGACTTAGACTCAGAACACCATAAACGATAACCTTTAGATTCAGATGCATAACCAAGAAATATGCACTTAATAGCTCTAGGAGCTAATTTTCCATCATTAACATGTGCATATGCAGGACATCCAAAAATTCTTAAATTAGAATAATCAATAGGATTACCTGACCAAATTTCTTCTGGAATCTTGAAATTAAGTGAAGAGTGTGGAGATCGGTTGATCAAGTAGCAAGCTGTAGATGCTGCCTCGACCCACAACTCACGTTGATGCCATAACCCAGCATTTGAGAGCATACAACGAGCTCTCTCAAGGATAGTTCTGTTTAAACGTTCTGCAACACCATTCTGCTGGGGTTTACCTGGAATGGTTTTGTGTCTAGCAATACCATGATTTGCGCAGAACTCATTAAAGTCACCTTCACAGAACTCCAATCCATTATCCGTTCTGAGCTTCTTGACTTTCTTTCCTGTCTGAGTTTCAACAAGAGTTTTCCACTTCTTAAAAGTGGGGAATGTTTCATTTTTGTGCCTTAGAAAATAGACCCAGACTTTACGAGAAAAATCATCAATAATAGTCATCATATAACGGCATCCTCCATAAGATGGAACTTTAGAAGGACCCCAAAGATCAGAATGAATGTAATCAAGGGTACCTTTTGTGCGGTGAGTTGCAGTGGAGAAGCTAACTCTTTTCTGCTTCCCAAAGACACAATGTTCACAAAACTCCAACTTACCGATGCCTTGATTACCAAGGAGACCTTGCTTGCTCAGAAGGTGCATGCCTTTTTCACTCATATGGCCCAGGCGCATGTGCCATAATTTGGTGGCATCTTTATCAGACATAGAAGATGAGACAGCTGCTGATCCTGTCACTATAGATCCTTGCAAGATATACAAACTACCAATACGGTTAGCTTTTAATAAAACAATAGCACCTTTTGATACCTTTAGAACTCCACCTTCAGCTGAATACTTGCACCCAAGAGACTCTAGGGTGCCAAGAGAAATTAGATTTCGCTTCAAGTCAGGAATAAAGCGAACATTGGAAAGAGTCTTGATAGTGCCATCATGAGTCTTGATCTGAATAGTACCTATTCCTGCAATCTTGCATTGGGTGTCATTACCCATCAAGACAACACCACTATCAACAGGTTCAAGAGTGGTGAATAAGTCCTTATAAGGACACATATGAAATGTACATCCAGAATCAAGAATCCATTCAGTTTTGCTCCTCTTATCAGAAGAGACAGATATCATAACATCACCATCAGAATCAGTTTCAACATTAGCAGCTTCAGCAGGATTTTTACCTTTTTCTTGCCTTTCTTGTTTCTTTTTCAAGATAAAGCAGTCGGAGATATCATGCCCAAATTTCTTGCAATAACGACAGGTTTTGTTGGATTTACGCCCTCTGGATTTGGATCTACTTTTCTTGTTACTGGTACTCCCTTTTTCTTGAGTTCTACCCCTGACACTTAAACCCTCACCCTTGTCCTCAGAGTGGATATCAAGATCAAACTTTTCTTTGGACAACAAATTAGATTTAACATCTTCAAAGGATAAGGTATCATTGTTGCTATACAACATAATTTCTTTAAAGTGTTTATAGGTAGAAGGTAATGAGACAATCAACAAAACAGCTTTATCTTCATCATCAATTTTAATTTCAATATTTTCCAAATCCATGATAATAGAATTAAACTCATTAAGATGAGATTGAATAGGAGTACCTTCGACCATACGAATCGTATATAGTCTTTCTTTGAGACGAAGCTTGTTTGCGAGACTTTTGGTCATATAAAGAGATTCCAATTTCAGCCACAAAGCAGCAGCGGTTGTTTCATTTGCTACTTCACGAAGAACCTCCTTGGACAAGCATAGTTGGATTGCTGAAAGCGCCTTTTCATCCAACTCGTCCCATTGCTCATCAGTCATGTTGACCGGCTTTTTGGCTTTTCCATCTAAAGCTTTCTTCAATCCATTCTGTGTAAGAACGGCTTTCATTTGGACTTTCCAAATAGAAAAACAAATCTTGCCATCAAACTTCTCAATGTCAAATTTAGTGACGGTAGACATATTGAATCTCTAATTAAACAAGTAGCTCTGATACCACTTGTTGGGTATCAGAAAGAATGAGCGGAATGCGGAAGCACCGGATCAAGTTAATTAGAGATAGAGAGAAGTAAGTAGAGAGACAAGAAAAATAAATACACACCAAGTTTACGTGGAAACTCCAAAGACGGAGAAAAAACCACGGGCGATCAAGAGCAAGATAATTCCACTATGTAGAAATAGGAGAGTACAAGAAGTTCTCTAATATCATGAGAACAAAGAGATAATCTCTCAAATATAGACTAAAAATACTCTCTTGAATCTTTCCTCTCTATGTATGATTTTTCTCAAGTGTGTAGATTGCTGAATCAATTGCAATTTGCTCCAAATGCTTGATGCCTTATATAGGCATTGAGAAGAAGCGTATGCACCCAGAATAAGGAAACCTGGAACAAAACAAGGAGCAAAAAAGAGGAAACCATGCATGGAATCATGGCCTAAAATCAAGGAAACGTGTTTTCCTTAAAACAGGAAATATGGAAGAAATTTGTGCCATAACTTTACATATAGGATAGTGATCATGCTTATGTGCATAGTGGAAAAGAAACAAAGTAGTGAGTGAGAGTGACGTGAGTGTATTTATGAGAAGTGAGGAATATATATTGAGTGTGTGTGTGTCACCAAAATATAAATAGTATTGTGAAGAGTGTGTGTGAGTAAGTAAGTGAGTGTGTTGTATTAGTGTAAAAAAATTAGAGGTGCTGGACACCAATATTTTTGTATTTACTCTTGTATATTAATAAAATTAGTCTCCTATTTTTTCAACATCATGCTACCTCGGACTTTGATTGCAAGAGAAACACTAATGAGACTGTCTTACTAGTATTTCTATAATTCTATGAGTAGTTGAAAATCACTATTTTTAGTACATCCTTAGCAGAAGTACAGAAGAGACTCATAACAAATTTTTACGAGTAACAAAGAGAATGTGAAAAAGAAAGTATTACTATTAGAGAGAGTATAAAGGACACTCTTCTTGATTGCATTTATGAATATGTTGTTTTTGTTGTCTGTTTGCAAATGAAAATTTGAGTTACACGGTAAAAATGTGAGAACTACTTCTTGACAATTTCACTCAATCGTTTATTCCATTTTCTTTCGACGGAAAACAAACACACATTAAATCAAGCTGAGCTCATGATTATGAATTACTTATGTTGTATGCATATACAGATATACTGTTGGTTATAGATTATCTTAGATAAAGAAACTAAATTAAAATCTCAAACTGTTGTTTTGATTTATTTTTAATTTATAGAAAGATGGCAATGATAAAGCAACCCGCTAGGCCGCTAAATTTTGTATAAAAAAAAACATGATCAAGTATGAAGGCAGTTGTAGAAAATTGGAAAGCCTTCACTCCAACGGACCCCACACCTCTCGCAACTTTCAAGCATCTTGACTAGTGATACCATAACAGAGTCTGAAATGAGAATGAGAATATAAAGCAACACTGAACTGAAATCCAAAAACAAAAAACAGCAGAATGAGAGTGTACGGGTTCCTCTCAGTCCTGATGACCCTCTTGTTGGGTTCCTCGAACGGGCAAACCCCGCGACAGCAGAACAACACGGGGTTCAGGTGCACGGGGACACGCAGGTGCGAGGCGTACGCATACTACACCGCTTCAAGCCCGGACTTCCTAGACCTAGCCTCGATCGGCGACCTCTTCGAGGTGAGCCGGCTGATGATATCCTCCCCGAGCAACATCTCAAACCCCTCGACAGCCTTAGTCCCGAAGCAGCCCCTCCTCGTGCCTCTCACGTGCTCCTGCAACCGCGTCAACGCCACCTTCGGCTCCCTCTCCTACGCCAACATCTCCTACAACATCAAACCCAACGACACCTTCTTCGTCGTCTCCACCTTCAAGTTCAACAACCTCACCACCTACCCCTCCGTCGAGGTCGTCAACCCCACCCTCGTCGCCACCAACCTCTCCATCGGCCAGACCACCATCTTCCCCGTTTTCTGCAAATGCCCTAACACCACCAATTTCAATTACTTTATCTCCTACGTCGTACAACCCTCCGACAATGTTTCCTCCATCGCTTCAACCTTCGGGTCGGATCAACAATCCATAATTGACGTCAACGGTGACACTCTCCATGATTATGATACTATTTTTGTTCCGGTGACGCGGCTCCCGGCTCTTTCGCAGGCCGCGGGGGCTTCTCCTACGGCGCCGGGACCCACGGCGGAGAACAGGACTGTTTCGAGTGGAGACGATCGGACGGGGACTGTTAGAGGGCTGGGGATTGGGTTGGGAGTGGTGGGGTTGTTGCTGATTTTGGTGAGCGTTTTGTGGGTGTACAGGGAGGTTGTGATGAAGGAGAAGTTGGGGCCGGGGGTGGTGAGGGATGATGAGGAGGAACAGAGGAAGGTGTATTTTGGAGGGAAGGAGGAGAAGGTGGATGTGAAGCTGATGGCGAATGTGTCAGATTGTTTGGACAAGTATAGGGTTTTTGGGGTGGAGGAACTGGTGGAGGCTACCGATGGGTTTGATCAGAGTTGCTTGGTTCAGGGGTCTGTTTACAGAGGGGAAATTGATGGGGAGGTCTTTGCGATCAAGAAGATGAAATGGAATGCATACGAGGAACTCAAGATCTTGCAGAAGGTAACACTAACACCAACTCAACCTTTTTTTTTTTTTTTTTTTTCAACTATCTTATACATGACAACACTCTTAATTATTGTTGATGAGTAAAGATGATATTTACTACGGAAGTGACTTGTCTTATGAGTGGTCAACTAACCGCCAATTATTTGGTTTTTAGCATAATCAAACCATGGGAATAAACCTCTAGATTCCTGGATACTTCCCCGCGTTACTTGGGGGCGAAAAATAATCGGAATCGTAGCATGAGAATTAATTATTCTGTAGTAACTCTGCAAACAAATATTCGGTTGTTATAATAGAAGAAAAGGGAAAACAGAAGATTACATGTATTTTGTTGATTTCAAAAACTTTAGCAGACTTGATTTATTTTGGTAATTATCCTTTATTTGTTATTTTAATACTTCTATTTTAGAAACGCATCAACAGGAATAAAACAATAGTGGTTGATGGCATTGTTGCTTTTGGTTATTTAGTGAAACATGTTTCCAAGTTCGTCTTATTTTACAGATCAGGATTGATTGATGTTAACAGAGTATGGTATTTCTGGTTTAACTTAAAAGCGCAACGAAAGACAAAAGCGCCGCGTCTTTTTTGTCTGTTTTCCATTTGATGACAATAATGTAAAGTTGTACCATTGGATTTGGTTAAAATACTCCTTGTATTTATATAATCAAAGCAACATTTCTAATAGCTGTTGAGTTTAGGTAGTGACATTTCTGATAAATAAAAAATTCAAATTCGAATAAAAAATATAAATGGCTAAAGCCACTAACCCTATCTCTCTAATAGTTTTAGGCTTTAGCCCTTGATTGATTTATATGTCCATCATGAATGGTGCTTAAGTATTTGATTAACAAATGTGTCATTTTCGGTGTTGAAGGTAAACCATGGGAATCTGGTGAAGTTGGAGGGATTTTGCATAGACCCAGAAGAAGCAAATTGCTATCTAGTTTATGAATATGTGGAGAATGGATCTCTGTACTCATGGCTACATGAGGACAAAAACGAAAAGCTGAACTGGAAAAAAAGGCTAAGAGTAGCCATTGACATTGCCAATGGCCTCCAATACATCCACGAGCACACAAGGCCACGAGTTGTGCACAAAGACATCAAGAGTAGCAACATTCTCTTGGACTCGAACATGAGAGCCAAAATTGCCAATTTTGGGCTTGCAAAGTCAGGAATGAATGCCATTACCATGCACATTGTGGGAACACAGGGCTACATTGCCCCTGAATATCTGGCTGATGGTGTGGTCTCTACAAAGATGGATGTGTTCTCTTTTGGGGTTGTGTTGCTTGAACTAATTTCTGGGAAGGAGGCCATTGATGAGGAGGGAAATCTCTTGTGGGCAAGTGCCATCAAAACCTTTGAAGTGGATAATGAGCCAGAGAAGTCTAGCAGACTGAAGGAATGGTTGGATAAGAATTTTTTAAGGGAGACATTTTCCACGGAAAGTTTGATGGGTGTTCTCAATGTAGCAATTGCTTGTTTGCATAGAGACCCCTCAAAGAGGCCTAGCATAATGGATATTGTCTATGCACTAAGTAAAAGTGAAGATATGGGCTTTGACATCTCAGATGAAGGGATTGGATCCCCACGGGTTGTGGCTAGGTGAGATGGGTTGAAATACTGACCCATCTGGCTTTGTTTTTTGTTAGAGAACCATTTGGATATTTTTGTTTAAAGAAATCCATTTGGTATTTTGGTAATCTCTGGTTAGTGTGGCCTTGGTCCTTTTTGTATTCTTTTTGCTATGGATATGCTGACCACAAAAAAAGGGTTTAAAAGACCCTAATAAGTAGTACTTCATGAAGTAGGGCTTTTCTGAGGCCGAAAGTAATAAGGGAGTCAAATAATCTTGGGTTGTATACATAATAACTAGTTTGCTACCCATGCTATATCACACGGTTATGTTGGTTTGTAATTTGTACACATGCTGTAAAATGATTTATTTTTATGTAGTATTAAGCTCATGTAATGATGTATATTAACATGAATGCAATCCATGATTTTGCTAATTTTATGATATAGTGAAAATTCAACATATGTAAGACGAATTCTGCAGTGAGGAAGCTTAGTATATGGATCACTGTAGACAACTAGCTTCAATCGTTAAATATATTAAATATTTAAGTGTAAGGCTGAAATTTTTATCTTTTTATCTTTTTATCTTTATCTTTTTCACTCATTTTCCCAATTTATCCTTATCCCTCTTGTGAAGCCAACCTTTCTTAGCCCTGCTGGAAGCCTTGGTGTGCCGCTAGAAACAGTTTTCGGCGGCGACATTTTTTCTCCTTTCCTTTATCATTCTCTCCCTTCTATCTTGTTCTTCTTCTCATGTTTTACGTGATAAAATTGGACCAAACAAAATCACCACTAGATCTGTCTTTTGTGTTCGTCATTGGTGTATGTTGGACCAAACAAGACCTGGTATTTTACGTTTGTCATTGTGGGCCAAATAAAATCAATCAAATACGGATTTCAAACTGAAATGCGGCATCAGAAGAAAGTCTTACGGTGACGGGAAGAACGCAAAAGATTTGATGGAGGACTCACAATGTTTCACAAAGTTAAATAAGTTATAGAGTTAGTAATTAATACATAAATAAAAACACAATAAAGTCAAGTAATTATTAAAACTCATAACAAAACTCTAAAACATTAATAAGTTTTCTAAAATAAATAGAGAAATCGTAAAAAGAATGCAAAATATAATTCTAAATTTTCAACGCCACGTTTTATCAAAATTTAACTCACAAATATCGTAATGTCTAAGTCTCGTCATCTATATAATAATCATGATGATTTTTACCTACAAATACATATAAACACAATACGAAAATAAAAGGAAGTAAGAAATAATCCACTCTAACTACTAGTATGAAATTATAGCCAAATAATCACACAACAATAATAATATAAGCATATATATATATAGAGATCCATGCCTATGATAATGGGGGCAGTTGTCCTTGCTAAAATTTTACTCTTTTTTTATTTATTTATATATATATATATATATTATTTACTTTTTATAATATATATATATATATATATATATAAATATATTAT